AACGATTATATAAAGTGAAAAAAGTCATTTCTAAACTTCTACCCATTACTTTGACTACATTCGACGCTATGTCACACGACGTTCGGCCGAGAGCTTCGGACTCCGGAGTCATTTTGAACTTTAATCAATGCTACCAGATGGAAGACTGACGTGATTGAGTCGGTTGAGCGTCGGACTCATAAATGAGAGATGCCGAGCTCAATGGCAGGTAAGGATCAATCGCATTACTTTCCATCCGAGGTCAAAAATGAGTATAACTCTGTGGGAGAGGAACTGGAGATTACACAGAATGCTTGCCACATAGTTGCTGTTGACTCTGTCTTTAAAATAAGGCAATCACGGTTGATGGCATGGAAATGGAAATGAGCACCAGAAATGGCACCATTCTAAAAGTGTAATGAAGACCGACATTCATACAGTTACAAACTTTCTTTCCGTTATACTCTCGACCAGGTAGAGAAAGCACTTTTCAAACAAATGGCAGTTTACTGTAGTTTTATTAGGTGCCTATTATCTTCCTAGTTGCTGAACCCTTTCAAATGCGATTATGCGTTCGTTCGTTTAGAGTGGATGACACATCATACATTTCAACCTTTAGACACACTGATGAAACGGAAGTCAATAGGATTGGAACACCCACTTGACAATCAGACGCAAGACAAACGAGAACTCCCTCAACGAAGGCAGTAGATCAATACGTCTGCTTCTAAGGTCGAAAGTACCGTTTCGTAGAAAAAAACCATCTTTATGCGTTTATATTATCAAATGCATCAGTATTACATAATCGATTACTTGAAAAAAGTGACAACCTCACACTAACGTTTTGCGAACGAACGAGTGATCGATCTTACAGCTTATCCATGGCCGCTGAATCTTTTCGCCATCAGCACTGAGCCAAATGGTTCGTCCGTTGCTTAGGCTACTTGCACTTCTCGCTCTGAATACAGGCCTAAAGGAATCTATTCCTCTAATCTCAAAAATAAACAACATCGACTTGGACTGTGCCCTTAATGAATATCAGGCATCTTAGGTATGAGTGAAATTTACGGCAGTCAATCGTTTCTGTGCTTCTGAAACTCAGAAAGATCAGCGCGATTTCGATTCGACAAAGGTCGATCAAACTCATGGTTGTGTGTCTTTAGGATAACAGATTCTTTAGATGGACCGAATAAGAAACGTATTCATGACAATATTATCAACTGTTGGTCCGTTGCAGAAGTTGTATATCGTTTGCAGGTTGAAGGTTGAAGACACCAACCAATACGAAAGCTAACAATTTTCATTGACAACGCTTTTCGCCATACCTGCAGTGGCATCAGGGCACAGCTGTACGTCAAACAACTGGCAGCTTTACAAAATACGAAACTACGGTTTAAATCCGGCGGTAAACTAACGCCAGATTCCAAATTATGTCAGTTCAAACTGTCTCATGATCTCCACTTTCTGCGATATATTGTGATAATCAATGCAAAATGCGAAATCAAAAAATCGATCATTATTTGGAGTCGTTTCACTGGACTAATGAGGGGTTGAAAAATGAAGGTTGTGGAGGAAAAGTGCAAGGCGGAGGAAAGGCGTCGCTGTTCGCAACTGTAGGCATTAGACTGGAACTAAATTACAGTTGATTTTGTCACTACGACATGCAATAACCAACTGACGATTATTCATGGTATTCCCATATGAAACAGCGCGATGAAGATCATAAGCGTGAATGATGAGGACATGGAGAAAGAGGCAGCCATCAGTGCGGTAGTCTAACGATCCGTTGCATAAGAAGATTCGTCAAAACATCGACGACCGAACGACAGCAGCCAGATTGCACAAAAACATCTTTCCAATGGTGGTGGTCGTCGAAAGCGCCTCCGCAGTCAACGCCGAACAGTAAAAAGCGGCTAGCAAAGTTTCGATGGCCATTCCATGATTCCAAACAGTGCAGCGATACTTTTTTAGCGCCAAAACCATTCGGCTGCGCACTTTCAACAGCAGCGCTGAAAAAAATGCAAACCATTCAATTTTCGAGGCATAAAAGCGGTGGTTACACCAAAGCGTTCGAAGAGTTCCAACTCGAACAGGCGGCAGGCATGGCAAATAAAACGGAACCTGATGGCGGTACTTTTACGATATTCAAACAAACACAAGAATCGACTAGTAACCTGTTAATTCAACACGGCACAGGAATGCTAGAATACTTTAAAAGCAGTTCTGCTCTTGCACTTCAACCTAACCAAATTCTTTACCAAACGAGTGTGCCTCCGCTCAGATCTAAGTCTCTCATAACATGACTGACAGACAGAAAAACTGAGTAAGTGAGTGAGTGAGTGAGTAGATGACTGATCTAACTGACTCACTCACTCACTCACTCACTCACAGCAAGTTCTGCTGATGTTTTGGACGAGCATTCGTCGGCCAAAAAGTTGGACTCGTGCAGTTGCATATGAAAAGCAGAAAAATTATAGAACAGGCTTCTGGCTTCCTGTTTACGTCGTTGAAGTAAGAAAAACCTCCACAACAGCATCGCGTTTATCATCTACCCACGGCTACCGGTTAAAAGGTGTCATACATTAAAATCGATCAGTTGAAATGTAATTTATCACAGAAATCCGTTAAGTAGAATACCCTTGATCTTGAAAAACGTGACATTGGAGTCCAAAGAATACGTCGCACTCTAAGAGTACAGTATTTTGCTATGAAAATGAAAACAACGGCAACGATATCGACTTAAATAATTCAGATGTGAAAAGACTAGTCAGCGGGGGTGGAGCTGGGACAGAGTCAGACTCAATCACATTAGTACTGAAGAATTCGCCGCTTATTCCGTCGCTACTGTAACATTATCTGCTATAACAAGCATTTGGCATGTAATTGATAATAGCTCTCTATTAGGTAAGTTTGAATCGTCTAAACGATCGAATCATCCTTTGATTTAAAGTGCTCCTGGTGGTTTGATCCGCCACGAGCAGTCAGCTCATTCGAGTTAAATTCAACTCTCAACTACGACAGAGAACAAATAGTGAATTGTGCAAAATTCTTCGGGAAATTAATTAATTAACTAACAATAAAGGAATAAAATGGTCGATGGCATTTAATCGATCATTTCTTGGAAGATAAAGCAAACATATCTCATCGGATTAAACATTACAACAAGGTAAGAAAATTAAAACGTGCTCAGATGTATCGAATTACGATGCAAAGGTCGGCACTAAAAAAATGACAGTGCTCAGCAGTCGGCATTTAACACATCTTTGACAAAGGTACTGCTGAGGAGGAAAGTTAAAAAATTTGACTATTTTTAAACCCAACTACAATTACTGTAGTACAGGTGAAGTAGACCAGATTCTAAATCAGACAAATCATTCAAAGTAAGGAAAAGAAAGTCTGTAACCGTTGGAATTCTGATTTTCCCTGTACTTTTTTAGTGGCAAGTCTCTGGCACTCTTTTATCGTGAAATTTACTATGCCCCCACCCAAAGGTATCACATTAGAGCCTACAGCAGCTGTCAAAAGCACTGCGTTTAATTTCCTGCTCCTTTCCCACAGCTGATACTGAATTATCGACCTCAGAAATAAGAAAGGCGACTGACCCGACTGAGACTCTAACTTAGGACCACTCGATTCTGAGTCTGATGCCCCATCCAGCTACCGTACCCCGCGTACAAATCATGAACTGCGAAAGTCGCATCATTCGACCGTAAAAACCAAAGGAAAGGTAAATGAAAATCAAGATTTTCTACCGTAGAAAAACGTAATTTGCTTTAAATGCGCCCGAAAGGTCAACAACTAAGGAACACAACCCCATACACGGCCCTATGGAAGCAGTTTCAGTAGTGGAGAGTCTCAAATACAACTGGCTTGCAAACGCAAATCCGTGAATTACTACTGCTTTCAGCAATGCTGCATTATCCTGACACGTACATCTCATGGACACAGATGATTATAGTATTTATTATATCATTTTATACATACATAACACCTTACGTGTATTTTACGTACTGCATGTAATACACACATTAATACAATTATGTATTTACACGAACACACATAACATATTATCTCCTTTATGTGTAAGTGTTAGGATATATTACATAATATAGGCGAGACCTACGGCATGCAGTAAATCACATAATATGTCATGCGTTTATTCTTTTTATTTCAGCATACTCGATGAAATATGACAAGAGTGGTATGAACATCATTTTAGCTCGAACCCTCTACCCAACGGTAGTACTCTTCATAAAATCCTGGTTCCTAGCAGAGTCGCCTTCCGCAGTTCATCTACTTTGAATGTTGCATCAAGTGACTCTAATAGGTCCTTTACACTCCAGATCTTTTGCAAGTTTAATCCTCAGTTCATGATATTACAGTATCATACCTATTCCCTTAATAAAAAATGCTGCCAGATTTGTGCCCGCTATTCGCTTTGTCTAAAAATACTATATCCTTTTGGCGGGTATTTACACCATTGCTTTGCCACTGAATGTCTCGTCTTCATAAATACCACTAGATTATCCATGCATTTCTTGCACTGTCGATTTGCGATCGTTTACTAGCACAAAATTACATACGTCACGGACTCATCGTTTACTTAGCGCATTCTGCATTTGAATTATAGTTGCGTGTGCAGGATCTTCGCTATGAATGAGTTCTTATTCAGTGCCTGGTCTTGAGCGCCTATTGGAAGGGCTT